CTGTGGAGCTGGGGGCGGAATGAGAAGGGGCAGCTGGGCCATGGGGACACCAAGAGGGTGGAAGCTCCGAGGCTGATCGAGGGCCTCAGCCATGAAGTGATCGTGCCGGCCGCCTGTGGGCGCAACCACACCCTGGCCCTGACGGAAACGGGCTCCGTATTCGCTTTTGGAGAGAACAAGATGGGGCAGCTGGGCCTGGGCAACCAGACCGACGCTGTCCCCAGCCCTGCGCAGATAATGTACAACGGCCAGCCAATTACCAAAATGGCCTGCGGGGCGGAATTCAGCATGATAATGGACTGCAAAGGGGATCTCTATTCCTTTGGGTGCCCTGAATACGGCCAGCTGGGGCACAACTCGGACGGGAAGTTCATTGCCCGGGCGCAGCGGATAGAGTACGACTGTGAGCTGGTGCCCCGGCGAGTGGCTATTTTCATCGAGAAAACAAAGGACGGGCAGATCCTGCCCGTGCCGAACGTGGTGGTACGAGACGTGGCCTGTGGCGCCAACCACACGCTGGTCCTGGACTCCCAGAAGCGCGTCTTCTCCTGGGGCTTCGGGGGCTATGGCCGCCTGGGCCACGCGGAACAGAGGGACGAGATGGTGCCTCGCCTGGTGAAGCTGTTTGACTTTCCGGGCCGTGGAGCCTCCCAGATCTATGCCGGCTACACGTGCTCCTTTGCTGTCAGCGAAGTGGGTGGGCTATTTTTCTGGGGGGCCACCAATACCTCCCGAGAGTCTACCATGTACCCGAAAGCAGTGCAGGACCTCTGTGGCTGGAGGATCCGGAGCTTGGCTTGTGGGAAGAGCAGCATCATTGTGGCAGCTGACGAGAGCACCATCAGCTGGGGCCCGTCGCCGACCTTCGGGGAGCTGGGCTATGGGGACCACAAGCCCAAGTCTTCCACTGCGGCCCAGGAGGTGAAGACGCTGGATGGCATCTTCTCAGAGCAGGTGGCCATGGGCTACTCGCACTCTTTGGTGATTGCCCGAGACGAGAGCGAGACTGAGAAGGAGAAGATCAAGAGGCTGCCGGAGTACAACCCGCGCACCCTCTGAGCGGAGCCGCGCTCCGCCCGCCCTGCGGCAGCTGTCATTTCCACAATGCACTGGGACAGGACGTCAGACGAGGAATTTTTAAGAAGCGAGAGTTGACCGAAGATGCATTTCTGTTAGCCTCCCCAAGGTTTTGTTTTCTAAGTGATTCAACATTAACTACCTTTTTTCTGTATGCTTTCCAAAGTGGTTTTTTTCCCCCAATGTTTAATTAAAATATTTGCTCATAGTTGACTTACCATTCCTACAAAAGAGGCAGAAACTTTGAGCAATTTAAGGTTTTTTTTTTTCCTTTCCTGAATATGCTTCCCCAAGCCTCCCATTCCAATTGTAATTAGCATTGTGGTCCAATGGGGTGCTACATGGGAGAGGACTGGCTGTTTACGCAGGCGAAATTGTCCCTTACGGGGACCAGCAGCTTCCAGGCCAGGATGTCCTTGGTGGCAGATCTCCATTCAGAATCACGCTTGCGTGCTTGGGAGCGTCTGGGCCACTTGCCGCTTCCGCCACCCCGCAGACTGGCTCCAGTCACTGCTTGCTGTCCTCCCCTGGGCCACTGGCAAACTCCACAGCCTTCTGGTCAAACCATTCATAGAACCTGCCATTTCCCCCCTGGTGGGGGCTTTGGGATTTATGTTTAGCCATTTCTGTCTCCTTTAGCTGTACAAGAAGTCCAAATGAGAATCAGGTGGTGGTGGAGCCGTGGAGACCTGGGGGGGGGGGGCCGAGATGGGGAACATTTGTGTCTGTCCCAGGGTCCAGCTCTATGGCTCCCTGTTGAGCCTGGTCCCTGCTGGCCCCAGCAGTGCTCTGTTAGAGGCTGATCAGCCAGCAGTCTGAGCGCGCACTCCAGGCCCTGTGAGGAAGGACCAGCCCCACGTCCCAGCTGTTGCCACCACCTCTGCTTCTGTCTGTCGCCTGCCTGCCTGCCTGGCCTGCCTGGCCTGGCCATTTCGTCCTTGCGCCTTGGGTCGCTGTCTCGCTAACCCCGCGCTCTGGTTGCCCGCGCTCTGGTTGTGTGTGCTTGGCTCCAGTACCAAATAGCTGGGATTCCTGAAGAAGTCCCCCAGGCCTGCGTGTCCCGCAGAAGCCGTGCCGGCCTCCCGTCGCAGTCCTGTCAAGTGCCCTCTGCCCAAGCCTCCCCGTGCTGACCGCGCTGCGGGAGTTACGAGGTGCCTTTCCTGGAAGCAAGCGAGGTGCAGTGCTGGCTGGGCCTGCTGTTTCTGGGGATCTGGACTGGTTTGGGTGCTTTGTGCTTTAAATAGATTTTTAGCTCAGTGGTGCTTCTGGGGGAGAAGAGGGGTTCAGTGTGAAACTTGGGTGGATGGGAGAGTTCAGTACTGGTCTTTAGCCTTGTTTTTGCTTTTGCTGTTGTTACCACCTGTCATTGTCTCCATGTGAAAATGCCAAAAATGATCTAGTTGTCACTGCTTTTCCCCCTGCCTGTCATCCCACTCCATCACTGCTCACAGCGACTTCTGTCCTTTTAGGGCAGGTTGCAGCTTGTGTCTGGCTGACCCCACAGCCTCGAGGGAGGTGGGACTGGATTTAAGACCTAGCATGAGTCCTTGCTCATCTCTGCCATCCTGTGTTGGATGGTGGCCCCCTGGGACAAGCTTCTGCAGCATCACAACTTATGTGCTAAACTAACCTTAGCCTGTCCCCATTAGCCCCAGATGCCTCCCCCTCGAGCTGCCAGAGCGCGGCCTAAGCAGTCCCTGCTCCCCCCTGAGCGAGGTCTGCTCTGTCTCACCCCAGGTCTCCCTCGAGCTGTGTGGTCACCCAGTTTTTAGGACACAACAGCCCTGAAGC